TGTCGATAGTACAAAATTAAAAACCGGGGAATCTTTGTCGAAACGACAGAAGAAAAAGGCGGAGAAGAGGCGAGTATGGGTTGAGTCCAAGGCGGAGCGGCGGAAGGAAGAGAAAGAACGGCGGAAGAAGAAGATGGCTCGGGTTGCAGAGGAGCGGGGAGGGTTTCCAGAATCTAGATCGTCGGCTAGAAAACGAATTAAAAAGGAACAAGGTTACGTTAAGAATAAATTACATTATTACCGAAATCGACGATTATTTCGTTTTAAAATTTTGACCGTTTGAATATCTTTATCGTCTGATTTGAATTTTTAAGCTTTGTATTTCTTTATGTTTGAAATTTACTTTAAAGTTCTATTCAGTTCCTATGAGTGAAAGTGAGTGCAAAATTGGAGTTATCTTTGACATGCAGTTTGATCATTTAATGCATCAGAGAGATTTAGGTAATATTTAATATCTTTCACATTTTTATACCTCATATAGCCCGTAAACCCCAACACTGCAGTAAGGAACAATGAAACGGATATTGCTGATTTTCCATCATAACTTGTTGAATGTTGTTAATTTTCTTCCTTTTCCTTGCTGCATAAATTCGCATATCAAATTTACTGAGGAACCACAATTCAAAAGTAAATATTATAATTTTGCTTTTACGAAAATTTTGTGAATCGTTGACAGGTCCTTTTAGAATTTAATTTCAGGGAAATGTATCAAGCAGATTCTTCGCTGCTACAGTAACAACAGACGATTAAAGGTTAAGTATTTTTTTTCAGCAATTTTTTAAACGTTAATTTTTTGTTGTTAACTTTTTTTGCACATAAAGTTAACATGTTGAAAAGTGTGTGGCTTGAAAAAAACTTCTGTGTATAGAATAATAATATATTTGAAAGTTCATGTGGGAGAGGGGAAGGGGCATTATGTCAACTGAGCCTGGATCTTTTGTAAGAGATACCCTTAATTAGGAATAGTTGATCTTGATATCCACAGTGGGTACTTTTAAATTTTACTCTGAATCTGTCTGATCTCTTGATCTTGATATCCACAGTGGGTACTTTTAAATTTTACTCTGAATCTGTCTGATCTCTTGATCTTGATATCTACAGTGGGTACTTTTAAATTTTACTCTGAATCNTCCACAGTGGGTACTTTTAAATTTTACTCTGAATCTGTCTGATCTCTTGATTTTGATATCCACAGTGGGTAGTTTTAAATTTTACTCTGAATCTGTTTGATCTCTTGATCTTGATATCCACAGTGGGTACTTTTAAATTTTACTCTGAATCTGTCTGATCTCTTGATTATGATATCCACAGTGGGTACTTTTGAATTTTACTCTGAATCTGTCTGATCTCTTGATCTTGATATCCACAGTGGGTACTTTTAACTTTTTCTCTGAATCTGCCTGATCTCTTGATTTTGGATGTACGCAATGGATATACGTAATTTCTCTGTTCTCCCATTGGTTGAATGCAAATTTGTCTGACTTCTGATTGGCTG